ACACTTGCATAATACTTGATGTCATCCTCAGAGCTTAATCCTCTCTAATCCTTCTCTGGTGACCTGTTCTCTCCTTAAAGCCTTTTAGTAGGGCTTACCAGGACACGGTTGTGCTCTCCCTGATCATCAATGAAATTGATAAATGTCCTGAATGAAACTAGTCTCTTGAGGTGTCCAAAAACTGGCTAATACATTTCAAATTTTTTCTGCATTTCAAAACAAAAACACAGGGAGAATTGATAGAAGTAACAGTGAGATGTGCAGTTGAGAAGTTGAGAACAATCCAGGACAGACAGTCTCCAGATCAAGAGAGGACAAATACATTAACATATATGAATATTCTCCATTATTGATATTAGTCTTTGCCTTAAGGACTTAAGACGACGTGAGTCATTCAGCTGGTTCACTGAGTTGGCCTGTATTCCGTCCAACACTTTGGTCCGGAGCAGATCATCTTGACATCTTCTGGCCAAAAAACCATCAAATTTAGTAAGAATGTTTCCTGAAACCTGTTGTTCTTTCCTCAAGCACACCATCCACATCAGTGTTTCCACTTGACCTACACTTTTGTCATACAAGATTCATCTGTAAAAAAAACTGATGGCTTTGTTTTAATGAAATTCACAATGGTGATCCCCAGAGGATTAATCCTAATCTGGTTGGGAGCCAAGAGACGTTTCCTTTTGTTTTTAACCCCAGCTCACAAAAGCCAGTCCCATCATGCAAGTGAGGAGCGAAGCCTAGCAACAAACTTTTCTTAAGCTCTTGGTATCATCAATCCCTGTGCCAGTAAATCTGTAGGCAGTCAAGATACACCTCTTAGTTCTGCTGTACATGAGGTGGGAGACTGTTCAGGGACAAGCAGAGGCTCAGTGATAGTCGTGGTTCTCAGCACGTCTCTGCTGTTATTACAAAATAAAAGCCCACATTGAGGTGTGTATATTTTTACAATGCAGTCTGGCAGTGCTCTTTAGCTTCAAGCAATGTTTCTGAACTTTGTAGTTATCTGGAGAATATTTAAAACAGTTCATTAAAGATAAGCCTCGTGATATTCTTTCATTTTGGTTGTCAATAAATCATACAATGAATCAGTTCGACTCAAAGGAAGTGCCATGTATCCAAATCCGTCATTGTCCAAAAATGAATTAAAAACAAATCAGTAAGCCACACCATTGCAATCAGTCTCGTCATTAACATGAATCCACATAAACTCTCCTGCTGCTGTAAATGCACCGTAGCCAAATCCACTGCCAAAATAGTCCCAGACAAATGTGCTATTTATTTCTGTTTGAACACCATTTGCTAAAATCTTCTATCCCAGGACATGATTTACCCTTTTAAAAAAAAATTAGTAAATGCGATTTACATCTGCAGGAGGAACAGAAGGGCCTGAGGCTGAAAGTTATAGACAGAGCAAGGGAGATGAAAGTACGACAGTCTGTCTTATGGATTGACACCAGTGTTTATCCTTTAGAGAGAGCTGCTACTGAATAGCTCTCATACAGATCAAGCCCTACTTTTTGCTTAGCTCTTCTAAGCTTGCTCCTGCTTGTTGTTAATACAGCATTTATACAGCCACCAGTAGACTCTATGTAAAGTAGGCATGGACCGATTTTAGATAATATTGAATATCATGATATTTACCACCTATTGTATATTTTTCATAATATTGAAAAACTGTTTTTCAGTTTTCTGTTTTATATATATATTTTATATATCCCACCCCAGCTATATTTTTGGAAATTGCGATATTCGGACAGTATCGAGATATAAAAACTTGCCCAATCCTAATGTGAAGTGGGGGTGGAGCATGTAAAAATCCTCCACTCCAAATGAATTCTGTGTATGTTTTGCGGAGGGTTACTTCATCATCATGTCAACTCCATACCTACAAGGTAACATGGTTCACATGAAAAAGGAAGACAAATAACAGTGATGGTTGCTGGTACCGGGGCTACACCAGCCAAAGGGCAGAGTCTGTTTGTGGTTATTGTCGTGAATATGCTGTTTAGCCTTCGAACATGTGAGCGACCATGTGCAAACGTGTGTACATGCCCCGCTGGTTTTCAGTGATTCCGAGAAAACATTTGGCTGATCATGTCTCATGCAGCCTTGCCTCGAGAGGTTTTGATGTTTATCCCTTTTTATGCCACTCGGGTTTTGCATGACACATGGCTCTTGGCCCGTCCAACTCTTCAGGAACAACACATCTGACACACACTGCCCACACACACACACTGTGATTTGCTGCACTAAGGAGTACACTGGAGCATTAACCCTTGTGGTGTGTGGAGGATATTCCCACCTTAAAGGATACGACTCACATTGCATTCACACTTTTAGGGCCAAGAGGCGTTCAAGGAAGCTTTACTACAGGAATTACTACTACATCCTTGTGTTTATATTACAATGAGGATTCCTTCCCCTCTCTGTCGTTACTCCCCTTTGCACTGCTCATAATGAGTACTTTTTATAGTTGTCACAAGAGTTGTCACATGTAATTAATGCTTTTTCCTTTGAATCTAAAACACTGGCAAGAGAGAAAGGAGCTTTGTGCATCCACCACACTACAAGATATTGACTGGGATTTTTCTGCCTATTTGATTATAGTAGCCGTCACGGCAGGGCCAGCAAGTTTAACTTTTAAGTCATACTGACACACTGGGGCTCAAGTTTATAGCACTCGAGCCCTGTATTAATGAATATTCAGTTTAGGGTTTGAAGCAGTGATATCATGTATATTTTTATAAATGTCACATAGAGTATCTAACAATATAATTCCGTGTGTGATTTTGGTGGAGAAATATGTTGTCTTTGTATAAAGCCATTAGTTTACGAGTTCATCAATCAATAATTATTGTTCATTGAAAAGTTAAAGTTGGTTGGTTATTTAATAAATCATTGGTTACATTAAAAGTCACGTGTATTTTCTGTCACAGCGTTTCATGATTAAATCAAACTTCAGTGAAACTTTAACCTAAAGAATTTGATACTATATTATATTTTTTACCCCATTCTCCTTCCTCTCTTTACGTTTCTTCTCACCTTCTCTTTCTCTTCATTCTCCTCCCATCTTCTTCTTCCAATTTTTATTTCATACATCCTGTTCTTTTATCTTCCTTCTCCTCCTCTTTCCATCTTTCCCTTTCTCTGTCCTTGCAGTGACAGGGAAGCCCTTTTTATAGTGTCTAGTTTCTCCCACCGCTGGTTTTCGGCTGGGAGGGCTGCCGTTTCTACGGCTGGGCCGGCTTCTTCTTTGGTTGCGGGAGCCTCATCACGATGACCATGGTCAGCCTGGACCGGTACCTCAAAATCTGCCATCTCAGATACGGTACGTCAGTATCTCTTTTATTATTATATTATCCATCCAGTTCTGCTATTGCTACATGGCCACCATTAGCATTAACAGCTGTTTTAATACCAGTTCTAACTCTGGCCCAGTCTGCCCATTTCGTCACTTTCCGATACTGAGTCACTGTAGCGTCAAGGCTGCCCTGAAGAAGTTGCGCTGCTCGGAGGACGTATTATAACTTCTTGTCTTGTAAACACAAGACTGGTAAATAAACAGCTGTTAATGCTAATGGTGGCCATGTAGCAATAGCAGAACTGGATGGATAATAATAATAATAAAAGAGATACTGACGTACCGTATCTGAGATGGCAGATTTTGAGGTACCGGTCCAGGCTGACCATGGTCATCGTGATGAGGCTCCCGCAACCAAAGAAGAAGCCGGCCCAGCCGTAGAAACGGCAGCCCTCCCAGCCGAATAACCAGCGGTGGGAGAAACTAGACACTATGAAAAAGGGCTTCCCTGTCACTGCAAGGACAGAGAAAGGGAAAGATGGAAAGAGGAGGAGAAGGAAGATAAAAGAACAGGATGTATGAAATAAAAAATTGGAAGGAAGAAGATGGGAGGAGAATGAAGAGAAAGAGAATGGGAGCAGAAACGTAAAGAGAGGAAGGAGAATGGGGTAAAAATATAATACTAGTATCAAATTCTTTAGGTTAAAGTTTCACTGAAAAGTTTGATTTTAATCATGAAAACGCTGTGACAGAAAATACACGTGACTTTTAATGTAAACCAATGATTTATTAAATAACCAACCAACTTTAACTTTTCAATGAACAATAATTATTGATTGATGAACTCGTAAACTAATGGCTTTATACAAAGACAACATATTTCTCCACCACAAATCACACACGGAATTATTTGTTAGATACTCTATGTGACATTTATAAAAATATACATGAATACACTGCTTCAAAACCCTAAACTGAATATTCATTAATACAGGCTCGAGTGCTATAAACTTGAGCCCCAGTGTGTCAGTATGACTTAAAAGTTAAACTTGCTGGCCCTGCCGTGAGGCTACATAAAATCAAATAGGCAGAAAAATCCCAGTCAATATCTTGTAGTGCTGGTGACAAAAGCTCCTTTCTCCTTTGCCAGTGTTTTAGATTCAAAGGATAAAAAGCATTAATACATGTGACAACTCTTGTGACAACTTAAAGAGTAACTCATTAATGAGCAGTGCAAAGGGGAGTAACGACAGAGAGGGGAAGGAATCCTCATTGTAGATATAAACACAAAGGATGTAGTAGTAATTCCTGTAGTAAAGCTTCCTTGAACGCTCTTGGCCCTAAAAGTGTGAATGCAATGTGAGTCGTATCCTTTAAGGTGGGAATATCCTCCACACACCACAAGGGTTAATGCTCCAGTGTACTCCTTAGTGCAGCAAATCACAGTGTGTGTGTGTGGCAGTGTGTGTCAGATGTGTGTTCTTCCTGAAGAGTTGGACGGGCCAAGAGCCATGTGTCATGCAAAACCCGAGTGGCATAAAAAGGGATAAACATCAAAACCTCTCGAGGCAAGGCTGCATGAGACATGATCAGCCAAATGTTTTCTCGGAATCACTGAAAACCCAGCGGGGCATGTACACACGTTTGCACATGGTCGCTCACATGTTCGAAGGCTAAACAGCAATAATTCACGACAATAACCACAAACAGACTCTGCCCTTTGGCTGGTGTAGCCCGGTACCAGCAACCATCACTGTTATTTGTCTTCCTTTTCATGTGGAACCATGTTACCTGTAGGTATGGAGTTGACATGATGATGAAGTAACCCTCCAGCAAAACATACACAGAATTCATTTGGAGTGGAGGATTTTTACATGCTCCACCCCCACTTCACATTAGGATTGGGCAAGTTTTTATATCTCGATACTGTCCGAATATCGCAATTTCCAAAAATATAGCTGGGGGTGGGGATATATAAATATATATATAAAACAGAAAACTGAAAAACAGTTTTTCAATATTATGAAAAATATACAATATGGTGGTAAATATCATGATATTCAATATTATCTAAAATCGGTCCATGCCTACTTTACATAGAGTCTACTGGTGGCTGTATAAATTGCTGTATTAACAACAAGCAGGAGCAAGCTTAGAAGAGCTAAGCAAAAGTAGGGCTTGATCTGTATGAGAGCTATTCAGTAGCAGCTCTCTCTAAAGGATAAACACTGGTGTCAATCCATAAGACAGACTGTCGGTACTTTCCATCTTCCTTGCTCTGTCTATAACTTTCAGCCTCAGGCCCTTCTGTTCCTCCTGCAGATGTAAATCGCATTTACTAATTTTTTTTAAAAAGGGTAAATCATGTCCTGGGTACTGAAGATTTTAGCAAATGGTGTTCAAACAGAAATAAATAGCACATTTGTCTGGGACTATTTTTGGCAGTGGATTTGGCTACGGTGCATTTACAGCAGCAGGAGAGTTTATGTGGGATTCATGTTAATGACGAGACTGATTGCAATGGTGTGGCTTACTGATTTGTTTTTAATCATTTTTGGACAATGACGGATTTGGATACATGGACACTTCCTTTGAGTCGGACTGATTCATTGTATGATTTATTGACAATGATAAAAAATAAACAAAATGAAGAATATCACGAGGCTTATCTTTAATGAACTGTTTCAAATATTTCCTCAGATAACTACAAAGTTCAGAAACATTGCTTGAAGCTAAGAGCACTGCACTGACTGGCATTGTAAAAATATACACCACCTCAATGTGGGCTTTTATTTTGTAATCACAGCAGAGACGTGCTGAGAACCACGACTATCACTGAGCCTCTGCCTTGTCCCTGAACAGTCTCCCACCTCATGTACAGCAGAACTAAGAGGTGTATCTTGACTGCCTACAGATTTACTGGCACAGGGATTGATGATACCAAGAGCTTAAGAAAAGTTTGTTGCTAGGCTCGCTCCTCACTTGCATGATGGGACTGGCTTTTGTGAGCTGGGGTTAAAAACAAAGGGAAACGTCTCTTGGCTCCCAACCAGATTAGGATTAATCCTCTGGGGATCACCATTGTGAATTTCATTAAAACAAAGCCATCAGTTTTTTTACAGATGAATCTTGTAATTGACAAAAGTGTAGGTCAAGTGGAAACACTGATGTGGTGGTAGTGCTTGAGGAAAGAACAACAGTTTCAGGAAACATTCTTACTAAATTTGATGGTAATTTTGGCCAGAAGATGTCAAGATGATCTGCTCCGGACCAAAGTGTTGGACGGAAATACAGGCCAACTCAGTGAACCAGCTGAATGACCTCACTCGTCTTAAGTCCTTAAGGGCAAAGACTAATATCAATAATGGAGAATATTCATAATGTTAATGTATTTGTCCTCTCTTGATCTGGAGACTGTCTGTCCTGGATTGTTCTCAACTTCTCAACTGCAACTCTCACTGTTACTTCTATCAATTCTCACCTGTGTTTTTGTTTTGAAATGGCAAAAAATTTGAAATGTATTAGCCAGTTTTTGGACACCTCAAGAGACTAGTTTCATTCAGGACATTATCAATTTCATTGATGATCAGGGAGAGCACACCGTGTCCTGGTAAGCCCTACTAAAAGGCTTAAGGAGAGAACAGGTCAACCAGAGAAGGATTAGAGAGGATTAAAGCTCTGAGGATGACATCAAGTATTATGCAAGGTAAAGAAATATGTAACTACAAGTTTCACTTACATGATTTCACTTAAATAACATCTAAAAATAAATTTTTTCAATAACTACAAATTATCTTAAAACTTTCCCAATTGTATTGTAGAAATAAAATAATTAGTGTATAAGTGTATGTTTATGGTATGTAATAAAAATAAATTCTGACATCATCTTCCTCCCCCGAGAGGTTCGTTCATCAACGGATCAACTGCATTACCTAACAGATCGGTCCATGTATTTATTTCTCTCTCTAAATGTCTATCACCACACAAGAGCCATCATAAGGAAAATCAAAGAAGCAAAGCCGTCACTGCCAGCGTGTAATGAAATGGCTCCGTTCACAATCAGTACTGTATATTTCTTATAGAGCATATCCTGTCTCAGTTTTTAAAAGCCACAGCATCTAAATGAAATCTATCCATACGGTGTGACATACAATTCGCTGTCGTCACACTTAGTATATAACTTGTATAGCATGTGATGCAATAAAACTAATTTCATGCATGATTGAGCCTGAGCCACATACAGATTTTTAATACAATTCTCATAAGAAATGTTGAAGGAGCTATTCGTAAGTCTTGCTATTGCTACATAGCCAACGTTAGCACTAACAGCTGTTTACTTAGACCTACGAGTCTTAGCAAGAGCTTCAGCCATCGTTGTTTTTACAAGACAAGAAGTTTTAATATGCCCTCTGAGCAGCGTTACTTCCTCAGGGCTGAACGGACGCCACGGTGACTCCTGACCCCTGCGCTGACCAGTAGCATCCAACAACAACAAAAATACAGGAAAACATGGCTCATATATGTGGTTTGCTAACATTGTTGGGAAAGAGTTTTTAAAGACCACAGAAATGTTTTTCCAATTGTAATTCCATTGTAATATGTAATATTCAATGTAAAATTTCCTTTCGACTGTTGAATTCATCCAAAAAACACGTTTTCTGCTGGGGGCGTATCATGCTGTGGTTTTAATGGTTTACCATGTTCACCATCTTAGTTTAAAACGTTAGCATGCTAACATTTGCTAATTAGCACTACACACAAAGTACAGTTGAGGCTGATGGGAATACCAAGAAAAAAGATAAAGTCAGGGGAAAGTCGTGAAGATCCATCCTCAATTGACCGATTTCTGTAACAAATTTCATCCAAAATGACGTTGAGATATTTCAGTCTGGATCCAGTTGAACAGCGAAAAACCCTGAAGTCACACCGCTGGCTTGACCAGCCGGATCTTCTAAGAAAAACGCCTTAAGCTCTCCCAAAAGTCATACGCTCCTAATAGATGAGGCAAACTGGTCTCCAGCAGGGCCAGATAAAAACCTCATGACTGGTTCTAAAAGATCAGAGTGACCGAGCAGAAGAGCTCGCAGGCAAGTGCCTAGTGACTCAGTGAGTTCAGCTACTCAGGTGGGACCATCACCTTAAAGGCTGTGTGTAATTCTAAGGGGCTGGGTGAGAGGTGGTTATTTACAATTTCCCCTCTCATATTGCAAAATCAGGAGCCAGTGAGTCAAAATAGCCTCAGACCCAAATTCTTTTGCTGAATGGCTCTATTCAGAGAGAAGTACACAAGTATACCACAGACTTCTGTTAGGACCCTCCCTGTCAGATAAGTTACAAATGCAACATTGGCCTCGTTCAGACCTGGATTTAAAATAGCGATCAGGCGATCCGATCACAAGTGGACAGCTCAGACTACATCAGTTCACACCTGCTATTAGAATGCGTCTCCACATGCGTCTCGAGGGACAACCCATACATCATTTCTGTTTGTGACATTTTTAACCAGTCTGACTA